CCCCAAAACCCCAAAACCCCAAAACCCCAAAACCCCAAAACCCCTTAGGGAGATTTTTGTATTGAAATTTTGGGTGATTATAGGGAGGGATTTATGGAGGGTTGGTTTGATGGAGTACGGGTTCTGGATTTTGGGATTATTGAAGAGTGGAAGGTTGGGATTTTATTGATTAAGCGTTTTGCTTGACAGCTAGTGCTGGTTTTTCTGCGGGCTATTTCTATAGCAATTGAGTTTCTAGTGCGGCTTTGAGAAAACCTGCTCATTCTTTTCTTCAATGCAAGATGAGATTTGAAGCTATTTTCTAATATCTTTTTAGATATAGAAGGTTTCTTCTGGTATAATCTTTTAGCAAACTTTAAATTCTCTTCTTCAATTGTTCGAATTTTATTATATCTCGTTGTATACATTGAAGAAATAACTTGATCTCTGATATATTTTTGCCTTCATCTCTGTCTTGATCTTGCTCTCTTTTTCTCTAATATAAGTATTCTTTCTTACTAGAACTATCTGGCATACGTTTATCGACCAGCTCCTGAATCCGTATATGTTCTTCATTGCTTCTCCTATCCTTACTCTCCAAGGAACTATATCTCTTCAACCTACTTATAACCTAAAAATTAGAGCTGAACTACAATTTAAAAACCGACCAGTTTTCTTATTTTCAATGGTTTGTTCATGACCCAGTTATTATCAACAGTTTTGCTGTTATTCTTGCCTATTGCAAGTAGTCTCTGAGCTAATGCTTGGTTAGACTTGTTCAGGTAATTCATTCTTTCCTGTAACATAAACTTCCTTCTCTTAACAGTGTTGAGCATTACTTTATTCCTTCCAGGTGGAGTTCTGTTCTTAATTTCATTTAATCTTTTCATGTGAATAGCCCTAGCTTTGCGATGAGATATCTGCTCTTGAAGAGTTTCTCCCAAATTTAGCATCTATCCAAGAATTAATATCCACAAGTGGTGTATCAGTTTGACAAGGAAGTTATGAGGGTTTTACATATACTAGAAACTCACCATTTGTTTCAAATGGGTCGATGAAAGTTATCAATTTATAAAATGAATTTTGGGGTTTTGGGGTTTTGGGGTTTTGGGGGTTTTGGGG